CCTCCACACCCACACCCCCTCACACACCCCAGCCACCCTCCCCCACACACAGCCCCCACATACCCCATACCCACCCACACCCCACATATCCACACACACATGCTCCCTCACCCCACACACCTATCCAACCCTTCACCCCCGAACACACATACACACCCTCCCCCACACCCAAAAGACCCACACTCCACCACAAACCTATACCCCACCAACAATGTACAAGAGTAAGTCTTCATTTTAAGCGATTATATACAATCACCTCTATGTACACTACACAAACACATGTAAATCAGGACAAAAATATTTTTTGAAATTAAATTAATGAATGTTTTAGATGTTCGCTTATTAGAATATAATTTGGTATTTTCCTAGTTCCGAGATGGCAAAACCCCTTGCTGAAAGTAGTACTTCTGGGGACAAGGGGAGGGACTTCTGGTGGCAAAGGTCAGAGGTTAAGGGGCAGGACTTCTATTCAGAAGATGGCAACCAGGGGCAGGTCACCTGTCAAGGAGTGAGGCTAACCATGTGGCCCTTGCCAGCCTGCCAAAACTCAGTAAGTGGCCCTCCACCCAAAATAATTGTCCACCCCTGCCCTATAACACTTGTTCCAGGCTATCACAGTCAGAATAAGACAGAAGGGCAGAAAACAAAGCTTTTTACATTGTTTTAGCCCATTGAAGTAGCTTTGTTTGCTGTCCTTCTGTCTTATTCTGACTGTGACAGCCCCACCCCTTGACAGGTGACCTGCCCCCTACTCATCTAAACATGTGCTCAGCATCTAAACATGTGCTCAATCCAGTTCAAACAGAATCTACCCCAAGACGCATGCAATCCAGGGACACAGCACATTTACTACATACTTAAAGTACAACAGACATATGGCCCTGGTAAATCATTTTAACTACACGTGACTGTGTTACTACATGGAGCATGCTGTGTGCCCAATTTAATTCTCAGGGTAGCCACTTGTCCAGTACAAACCAACTACCCACTATCTAATGGCTAGGTACCAATACCCACCTCAAGGAGGCAGCCAGACAATTTCATGGGCAGATCATGGCTAGCTGCTATTTTCAAGGGCTTATCATGGCCAGGACTCCCCTCCACCCCAACTTCTGATTGGCTATGAGGCCCTAGTGGCCCTGCCCCCCACTGATTGGTGGAGAGGGCTGTCTGTCATGTGACCCCACCCCTTGCTGCTGATTGGTAGAGAGGGTCAGGGTCACCCAACAGGCAGCCCTCAGACAATCAGCGGCAAAGGACAGCTATTTTGCTTGCTCACCTTCATGAAGGCAGCCTGCCTTCACCTTCACCGGGAGAGCTGTACAGCTGGAAGGACTGCTGGCTTCCACTGGGGAGCCAACATTTTATTTTTAGTAAGGATTCTTTCCCCTCCCAAATTTCATGGAGATCACCCAATTTAATGATTTCTGCAAAATCCGCACAATCACGATTGGGGTAGGTCCCTAACTATAAGAATCTCTATTGTGGACAGCCAGCTTGGGACAACTGGCTGTGTGTATACTCCTTATTAAGCGATAAAACTTAGAGCAGTGGCTCTTAACAAAGTGATGGAGTGCCCTGGGGTGCCTCAAGACCCTTCCAGGGATGCTGCAACACAGGTAACAGCATAGCTAGAGTGAAATGCCTGACATGTCTCCTGCAGAGGCAAATCAGGAAGCAGATAAGTCTGGAGCCCATGCTCTTCCTGAAGCCCTTCTTTGGCCCACCCATTACATTTATCTTAGAAACAGAGGCATACTGGACAGGTGGGACTGTCCTGCACCTCTCTGTTTCCAGAAGGAGTAGGCAGGATCAGATCAGGAAGGGCAGTGACAAGGGTACACACTCCAGCCACACTCCAACCCACCTTGGAGGACCCAGGCTAGGCTGCAATAGCCCTTTACACTGCTCAGACAGAAACCAGGCTCAGCTGCTGCAGCCATGTGCATCACCTAGCTGGAAGAGATGGATGTGGGGACAACCAAGGCAGGTTAGGCACTTTCTTTTCCCCAACCCCACCTCCTAGGGGCATAGAGGAGTTTATCCAGAGTTCAAAACTCACCAGTTATGCATCTGCTCCTGCCTGCTTTAGATTTATCAGAAAACCCTAATATAGGCAGGAGCATGTGGCAGCACCCTAATTGAGGAGCACTGCGGTAAGCAGAGGTAGCAAGACAGTGGTTCTCAACCAAGGGAGCTACCAAATTCCGAACCGTTACAGAGGGTGTCCTGACTGAAAGACAGAGAACCACTGATTTAGATTAACATACTATGGGTCAAAGAATAGTCAAAGAAAACAGGGATCACAAGGAGGAAACCATGATGCAGGAGAGAATGGTGGGTTTTGGTAGGGGCAGGAGGTTGACATGGAACTGAAGAAGAGTAAGACTAAGAAACACCACATGCTTTTTAAAGAAAAAAATAAAATGAGATTTTTATGCAGCAGGAGAATGTCCTGGCAAATGGAAGAGTATGTTGTGGGCCTATCGCCTTTTGCTTCCGCAACTACCAGTGTTATCCAGCTGGTAGCAAATGCAGATGAGTGCATCCTGTCTGGCTGTTTAGCCATTAGTAATATTTACGAACTAAGATAAAAGGCAGCTTAGAAACGCTGCTGGTAGCTTCTGGGCCCAAAGAGATGCTAAAAATGTTCTATCTAGCCCAATTTAGCACAAGACCACATTGTGTTGTGTTGGTTTTGAAGGTTTATTTTCATATTTCAAGTTGTATAATTCAGCTCTTCCACTCATTTCAACTGGAAGTACTTAGACACCTCATCAGTTACCTAGGCATGTGCTTTTCCATTCACTTCAATGGGGAATGTTAACATTAACCTGTATTAAGGTTAACCTATCAGAACTCTACTTCCTCCTAAATTCAAGACAAACACAGCTTAACTGAACATCTGACCTGAGCAGACATGTATAGGCATAAAGTTCTTCCTCCTCTTCCTAGTGGTTAAAGCACTCTTCCCAGAATCACTGGGTGTGTATCTACATATTCCTTAATGCAGCATAATTACGGTGCATTAAGTTAGTACCTGGAAAAAAAGACACCATAATCAGCGCTACTGCACATTAGCACAGAAGAGCACTCTTTGTGAGCTGCTTAATGCACATTGGACTGAAACTACTGCAAATTAGTGCATTAGCATAGTTTTTGCCAGCCACACTAATGCACAGTAGAATTAGTCCAATGCACGTTAAATGCCTTGTGTAGACATGCCCAGTCTAAACTATCCCAACAACACATCATAATCCCCAGACTGTGGTGTGGACATGGTTTGACAGCACCTTCTACTCCCCTTACATTGAATCTAGTCTGCTGGGAAACCAAGGGAAAAAGAAAACAAGCAAGAAGAAGCCTAATTCTGTAGCCCAGGGAAGATGACCCTGTCCTAGAAAAGAGGAAATTGTATTCTGGCACCTGAACCTGTTTATACATTTTACACAATGATCCTTTGATATCAAATGCATTGTGTACACTGGTGTGAATCTGGAGTCACATCACTAAGTCACACACTATTCTGGATTGCATTTTAGTAATAAAAGGCAGTATCTGCCCCAATGGATTTAAATCTGCATAACTGGGAGGGGACTCTGGTCTGCCATTCACAGGGTACTCTGAAAAGAAACAGATCGCTAATCATAAGTGCACTCACTCTGCCTTTTTAACTAGGTGCCACAGAAGTGTGATTTCAGGAGAGATTTCGTAGTGAAGAGAGAGGATCCACGTAGTCAACCAAAGACTGCGGCGCTGGTGCCATTGGGAAGGCTTTGGCTTCCATGACCACAG